ACCAGTCCAATTAAGCCTTGTTTGATAGTGCACTAATTAAGTTGAAAATTTTTTGGATTGATCACTATGCTCCCTTTGATAGAGAAGATGAAAAGTAGGAGGGATACACTTTATATCCTTCAAGGATGAAAAGTAGGAAATATACACTTTCCTTCTTTTGTGTTTGGTTGGATGGATGGAAAATAAAAATAACTATTTTTTTTTTTGTGCTGGCTAAGATTAGGGATAATAATTGAGTCGTGTTGTGTCAAATTCATGTTGAGTTATTACGGGTTTGTGTCGAATATTAATCAAACCTAACTTAACTCATTTAACTAATTGTGTCGTGTCAAGTTGCGAATTGACATGTTTATTTTCGTATCGAGTTCGAGTCGTGTTATCGTATTGAGTCGAAAATTTTCACCCTTAGTTCAAATGGAAAAAATATTTTTTATTTATTTAAAATTTTTATTTTTATTTATTTATTTTATTTTAAAATTTTTTTAATATATATTACTATTGTATTTTTATATGAAATAATATATAAATATATATATATATATAGACAAATAAGACATATTTCAACACAAATAATTAATTTTTCATCCACTTTACTTCCAATTTTGGAGGGATTGATTTTGGTAAATTGAAAGGAAAGTTAATTCATCCACTTTTTCATCCTTCCTAATTTTCTTCCTTACAAAATATAATATTTTATTTATCCTTCCAACTTTCTATCCTCCCACTTTTTTATTGTACCAAACATAACATAAGAATCAAATCACTGAAATATTCGATCTCTAGATACAAGATTGCTTCAATCATCTTTCAACTGCCTTGGGCATAACTTAATTCTTGTGGGGGACCAGGTTTTGTGAGGCTCTAACAAACAGCTTTAGCTATCTAAAATATGTGTCAGCATTAAACAAAAATTGGGTAAAAAGTAAGTCAGTGTGTCCTAAATTTGAGTTCATTTGGTCACATATAACTCAAGTTTAACTCATTCGCAGAGTTTTCAGGTAATTGTGTATATTAGGGATTAACAGATAATCCAGAGTTTAAGCAACTCGTGGTTGGGATGCTTCTGCCTTACCCAAAAAAAAAAAAAAACCATAATAACCCCAACAGGTATGGTAATAGGAGCTTGTTAACTCAAAAATTCTGAGTTCAAATTTTGACAATTCTTTCGAGTCGGCTATAATAGATTTATCTCACATGAATATCTTAATTCCGGCGAGAATATTTTGTCTTTAGCTGGATCAAGAAGGAAATTAATCGAAATACACATAAATTAATCTAAACACCTCTTACCGTTAAAAACAAAAAAAACATAATGGCATCAAATGCATACTGTGTGAGTGTTGGTCCTGCTCTCAAACAAACGCATCTTTTCATTAATTCATTATCTTGAACAAAATAGTCGGTGCAATAGCTGGCAACTCGTGCTTACTCCACCCTTCCCTTTATATTGTTTCAGCTTTCATTTGCCCACCTCTCTCCCTCTCTCTCTCTCTCTGAGTATACTTTTGTTGCTTTCATGTTTGCAACACTACAATGGGGAATTGCATGATGAGTGGAAAAATTCTAGCACAACATGAAAAAGAAGAGCCTCAAAAGACAGCAGAAGTGATGGAACTGAAGGGATCAGCGACTTCATCGACCTTATTAGGATCAGCACCACCGATTGATGGCGGAAAGAAAAAGACAGTAAGGTTCAGACTACACGAAGGAGATGCTGATGATCGAAAAAGTTACAGTAATACCAAAGGTGGGGTTGTGAGGATTAGACTTGTGGTGACACAAACTCAGTTGCGTCATATTTTGAACAATGAGTCTAAGTATACTTCTGTGGAGCAATTGTTAGGTGCAATAAAGTTAAGAAGCAGAAGAATCTCTCAAGCTAGAATAAATGGTTGGAAACCAGTTTTAGACAGCATCCCAGAGGACCATTTATGGTCATGTTAATACTATTACTAAGTACTCTCTCTCTCTCTCTCTCTCTCTATTTATTTAGTTTTTTGCTTGGTGAGGCTACTTAAACCACACATCACATTAACTTGTTTCAAGCAATGTTAAGGTTAGATCCGCCTCTAATGGGTTCTACTGCTCACTATCAGGTAAAGAAGTTATTTACAGTAGCTATTCTTCTTTCCGTCGTGCCTCTCACCTCACCCCCACCTTAGTTAAGGGGAGATTAAACGAAAAATTTCAATCATAGGCTTAGTAAATTCTCATAAATTCACATCATTAGAAATAACAAAATGCATTTTTATACCTCTTCGAGATATAACCCTTCTTGTTGAAGTCGCTACTAACGAGTTAAAATAAATGCTTACTTCCCAGATCCTACACAAAGACACATACTGACAGAGATATCCATGTGCATGTACATCTCTCCTTCCATCTCTCAACTCTCTCTCACACACACAAACACAAGCTCGCACAGCCCAACTCACCATCATTACTATTACACCAGATCATGTCACTCATGAACAGAACCACTCAGCACATGGCTCTGCAAATAGGTGAATAATCACAACAAAATATCCATCTTTAGTTGGCAGCAAACTTGTTTATCTTCAATGTAACTTGTTTCGGCCTCTAATCCGAGGACCATTTGTGGGACGCCACTTCCTTCCAAGCACCTGAACTTTATTATCATTAAATCAGCTACAGAGCATGCTTTTCACCACCAAAATCTAAAATTATGTGCCAGCTCTCCAGACCAGAGAACGTCTACCTCCAATAAAGATTTTCCCTCCCCATGTCTTCCAACCAACTGAAGCATCAAGGGAGTAGCATTTGGAAAATTCGTGCTTTTAAAAAACTTGCCTATACAGACATGAGTAGACTATTAGGAGTCACTCATACTAATTTGCAAGAAAAGCTAAATCTACTTCACCTATAAACTCATCCTACAAATAACTTGCAATTCTACTCAATATGAAGATGTTCTACTCTGCAGTCATTTCATATGCATAAATTGCAATAAATACCAATTAATGGTATAGCTTGGTAACTTACAATGAAGAAGATGAGCATTAAAAGTAACAACTCTTACTACCAATAAATGAATCTCAACTTCTGCACATGCCATCCAAGGGAATGGTTGACTCCGACAAGTAATTTAGCTCAACACGGATCCAAACGGACCACCTCCTTCAAATTAATGTAAGCTGCTGGTATATCAACATGGAGGATATGTCATCTCAAGAGATTTTCTAAAAAATGTAATTACTTGACAAATGAACAAATGAATGTACATCAAGAATATGTTCTGTGACTTGGTGGATACGAGGAACATCAATTTCTATTGCTTCATAAAGCGTCACAAATAGCTTAAATGTGTGTCATTAAGAAATGGGAATGTAGGAATTGGAAGACAGTCAGCCATGAGTAACAAAGCCTTGGATTACAATGAACTCAATTTAAGTTCGTTGAGCAAAGATTTCAGGAAAAAGTTACTTCTCAAAGGAGGCATTCTGTATAATGAAAGAAACCATTATTTGACGACTTTAGTTCCAACAGTATTTCATAGTAACCAGCCAGATGAGGAGCCAAAAAATAAAACTAAATCACTATCCCCCAATAAATAAATAAAAAAAACCCAAATCATCTTGAAACTATAAACTTGACAAAAAAACCCATTATGTTCAGCAATTGAGGAATAATGTGCAATGATCTAGGCAGTATATCACAATTAACGTTACCCTATCACATTTTCTAGTTTAACAGTTTATATCACTTGCCGGGCATCATCAAACATTGTTCGACCCTTCAGAAACAGTGAAACTAAGAAAATAAATCTAAATCCACTAACTTGGGTTTCAGGAGCACCAAGTTTTTATCAAGAAAAGTTACAAAATCATCATATGCACACCAAAGGCTGATCAAGTTCAAAATGTACTATCTGTACCACATCTACACTGTTGCAGAATGGCGAAGTGTTCTTAAGGCTCCATCACTGCTTCAAGAGCTTGACCCCTTTGAAGAGGAGTCAAAGTTTAGCCTTTGGACCTTGAGCTATTCTGTGATTCTATCAGTTGAAATTGGTTACTTTCCCCTTCTACCTCAAGCCACAGAAAAAAAAACACGAAAAACCAATTAACCATTCAATAAGAATAACAATGAATTGGTTTAGCTTCTTGAGAACACTAACAGAAGCAACCCCAAAAGGTTCTTAACACTCGATTACAATGATAATAAGGCATGAAACCTAAACAAACTCAATAACATTATATCACTATTCTCCCTATCAAGGCTTCTCTTCCTCAAGAAAGAAAACACCCCTTTTAACTAGTCAAAGTATATGCAAAATATCAGAATAGTTAAAATGCAATAAACAGATTTCCTGTTAGTGCCATAATATTTAATCAAAGTCCCCTGATCCAATTGGATATGATGTACGAAAACATGCACTATAATTCAACGGATGAAGTAAACATAAAACTAACACCAAAGAAACTATATTATATCTATGTACAATCTAATACTACTTCATGGTTAATACCCAATACACACAATTTAGTGAAAGTTCCCAAGCAAAAAGCCAATTTCCTTACTGGCACTAGCCACACGATAATTGAATTGGACGTAGGTGATTAATGACAATAATGAACTAGAGATGCAACATAAGTGCAGGGTCTAAATCATCAGATTCTCAAACTTAAAATGCAGAATTCCAAATCAGTCGCAGACAAATTGTCAAATGCATTTGTGGAACGCAAGTCTTAAGATCCTGGATTTGGGTATCATTTAGTCAAATCTAAATGAGCTCATAAACAGTGAATTTATAGCTCCAGTTCAAACACAGTAGTTCATAAATCACCCATCACGAAGCTATTAAACAGTAACTTAATAGAAAATGAAACCAAACAGAATAATTAATCAGAAGACTACTAAAGTAATTTATTTATAAAGAAAAGTTACTGGTTTTATTATATGAAATTGAACCCTAAGTAACATGATTTTTTTTTTTGCACAATCCATTGAATGAACCAGAACATTTCCATCACTGTAATGAAATTAATCTACAAATGAGTAAGAAACAAAGTCTTATCACGGGTTGAACCAGTTCATTCAATGAGCCACAAGAATGTCAGTGCTGAACAAATCGATAATCGGATCAGGCGAGTCCGAGACCGGACTTGAAGGAGCAGAGCTCAGAAAGAACACAGCCTTGGCCGCCACGACCCTTTTCCTCTGTGGGCATCGTAGGCCATAGACCCTCCCGGAAAAGCAAGGCACGCCGTCGATCTGTGTTTGAACAGAGTTTGCGGACCGTACAGGAGAGGGCAAAGGTGAAGGCGTACGGTAAAGTAAAATCTGAGCTTTTGGGTCAATTCGGTGAGTTCTAGCACTGATTCGTGAGTCTCGGAGTTGAGCCAGAGCGCCTGGTTTCAGGTACCGGAGATAGCTTGAGTTGGCCTTCGATGATGACCTTCTGACACGGCGGTTCATGGCGGACGACGGGGTTGCAAGGGCAAAGTGTGGGTTAGAGAGAGAGAGAGAGAGAGAGAGAGAGTGGAGTTTGGGGATTTTAGGGCCGGCTTTAAGGAAGAGGACGGAGGCGGGAAGACAATGGAGGGAAGAGGTGAGGACAGAGGAAAAATGGGTGTTTGAAAATGGGGTCTGAGGCGCGGGAGGATATTATATCAGGATTTTTTTGGGCTCGTCACCTTTTTATCAAAAATATAGTGCGAATTACACTTTATACCTCAAAAGATTTATTAAAGTTTCGTATTACACTCTCAATTTAATTAAATGCTTATAATGTGGTCCAAAAACTAGTAATCTTTTATAATTAACTTTTTTTTTAGTTTTTCTTTATTTGCAAAATTTATGTATATTTACTTTTTCCAATTTATGTTTAATCAATTTTTAAATACCAAATAATATAAAAAATCTATATAATAATGTATAATACAATTCAAATTTAAAAAAAAAAATGACTTTTTTTTTTCGGTTGCTATTTTTTTTAAATTATATTTGAAACTTGATATGACGGTTAATATTAACACCCAAATTTAATGTGAAAATTATGACTTTAAAGGTGTATTTTAGGTGATTTTTTAAAAGTACTTCTATCATTTATAATTTCTTATTAATATTTGAAAAAAAAAATAGTGTTTGGAATCACGACAGCACTACCACGCCCACCCGCCCCACCAACACCCACACCACCATCATCATAGCCACCGCCACTACCCCATCATTGCCTTTGTCACCACCACCACCGCTCCCCCCCATCACCTCTGCCACACACAACCACCGCCACCATCACCTCACCACCACCCATCACCACTGTTACCCCCACCACCACCTCTGTCACTACAACAACCACCATCGTCGTCGCCACCACCACATAATTACCATCACCACCATTGTCACCACCTCACTACCACCACCACTATCATTATTCACTATCGATTGATACCACAGTCGTCCACCACTATCATCCATCACTATCATTATTTCATTTTTATATTTATTATCACTACCACTATTATCCCACTACTACTATCGCTCACTGTCAGGCACCACCTATTGCCACCTGTCATCGCCCACCATCACCGCCAGCCATTGTCATCCATCCTCACCATAACTACAATTACCACTCTCATCGCCCCGCCACTATCACCACCCACTACAACCCACCCCCCACCACACTTACCACCATCACCATCGTCACCGCTGTCGTTCGCCATCACCCATCATATTGTTGTCCAAAGCACTCATTATCGCCCACCACTACCATCGTCACCACCCACTGCCACCATTTGTTACCCAAAATTTACCACCAACATCACCGTTGCTACCCACATCTATAATCACCACCACGGTCATCACCACCTACCACAACCATTACTTTTTCCCACCACCACCGTTTCTGCCCACTACCATTACCACCGCTTACCCCACTACAATTTGTGATTAAATTCCTTTCTTTTTCCTATATGTTTGTTATTTAATTTTGTCCAATCTAATCGAATTTGTATACAAAACTATCCTATACCCTATTCGTTTAATTAAATTGGTGAAAACCTACAAAATCGAACATGATTCATTTATTATGTAGATTATTCAACACTACTTGTTTTACTCGTTTAATAAAAAAATAATTATTAAATTTTTTTTAACTAATCTAATTATTAAAATGCATATATTATTCTGAGTAAAAAAATTGAATACTTAATAATTTTGTATTTTATTTAAATAAGTGATAAAACAAGTTGACATATTTCATCCGAACACCACCTCGTTTAGTAAGCGGGTCTAACATTGTTCCACCTATTTACGACCTCCACTCATTAAAACCTCATTCAAATCTATTTTACTTTATGTTAATTCGTATTAATTAATCGTATCATGTCATATTTTGATAGGCTTAAGTCAAACTATGTATAATGCTACTTGCCTGGCAAACTTTAGTGGGCCTACTTTGTGTTATAAGACGGGCTCTTATGCCTTCCACTAAAAGGTTGCTTATCTTGAGCCTGGGCCAGGACCCTATAGGCCTGAGACTAAGGCACAAGTAACCGTTTTTTCAGTTTTTCAAAAGTTTTTTACATATTAGTGTCTTCGTTTTCCTTTCATCCTCACCAAACACAAGAAGAGAAAGTAAAATTCACTGCAGATCAAATATGGATTCAGAAACCAATGTGAACGAAATTGATACAGAAGTTTTGGAATCCATTCCCCTTTCCGACGCACCTGAGCTTGAATCTGCGGAAACACCGACGAAAATCGACTTAAAGGAGGGAGTTGAAACCAATGTTCTTGAGAAGGGCAAGAGAATTGTGGTTACTTTGCTTGAAAACGTTTTTGTGATCAAATGGGTTGTTGAGCATCAGTGGAAACGATATTGTTGCGGTGGGGAATCCGAGAGAACTAGAGCTTATCATGTTTGGCCCGGAAACAATGTTCTCCTTCCTTACCCACTTTGTCATTTCATAAAAAAATTGGAGTATTAGAACAGAAGAATCCATTAGATAATGAACGACGGGTTCTAAACTTCTAATCCATGACGATTAATTAGCAATTTGAATCGCTTCACGTAATAACAGAAATTTAAAATATCGATGAACATGGATTTTCATATAAATGAAATTTGAACTTGTTTGTTTTCAATGCAGGTGTTTTTCTTCGAAGGACGATTAATCTGTGGCCCAGATCCAAGAGGATTACTCTTGACTGCTGTTTCTATTAGTCTTTCAAGTTGGATATTCACTATTTATGTTGCCAATGATTTCGCAAATCATTCTGGACTCATAATCAGTTTTTCTTTAATTTTAACCATATTTGTGAGTGCTTACACTAAAACTTTGCTGTTTTTATACTTGCATGTATTTCTCATATTGTTTTCGTATGCCTTTTTTTGTTTTGTTTTTCTTATGCAATATAATATGGAAACAAAAAATGCGTTGTTGGTTCTTCTTCTGCACTTTCTTCCATTTTTAAGGTTTCTTCGTAAAAATAGGTGACAATATTCTCCCAAGTTACCTTAAATTACACAGATATAGATGGTAAAAAAAAATGCATCCTAGCCTTTCGAGATGTGAGAGAGTTAGTTACATAATACTTCTGTTCGTGAAAGTATTCTCTTCCAAAAATTATTATATATTGATTTATACCCCGAGGTCACTGTTCTAATAACTTATTTTCTGAATGTTATTACAAAAATTAACAATATCTAAAACCCCTTTGCTTACCCAACTTAATTTCTGAGAGCTCTTAATGCAGGTTCTTGTCAACTTGATCTTGGTTAGTATGATCGATCCCGGAATTATTCCCAGAAATGATCAATCATCTCATGAATTTGGTAGCAACGGTAGAACCAAAAAGAGGAAGGTAACTGTCAATGGGGTAGAAGTAAAATTGAAGTATTGTCGAATTTGTAACATTTACCGTTCACCTAGGAGCTGCCATTGTGCTGTCTGTGACAATTGCGTCGAGAAATTCGATCACCACTGCCCGTGGATCGGTCAATGCATTGGTCTGGTACGTAATATCGCAACCTTACAACCCCTTGTTACGTACACAAAAGCAATAAATTGTCGCGGATGTCTTGTATTTTCCCCTCAATTGTATCTACTTTTGACTTAAAATTTGTTGGATTCTAACTGAAATTTGTTGTTGAGTTTTAGTCCATAGAGTAGAGGACTGGGCCTACCGGCATAATCCAGAACCCATTTTTGAAATTTGACCCTAATAGACGATTAATGGTTCTTTAAAAGTCTCACCTTGTTCAGGTTATAAAATTTAATTTTACTAGGAAAGAAGAGAATTTGGAGTATCGAAATTTCACGTCAGATTCAATATATTCGTTCTTTTGCTTCGGTACGAACGGAGAGGACAAACCTTGAATAACTTGTTGATATGATTAAGTCAAATTGCAAGTCAAAGAAAAGTAAGCATTGAATATATTAAAATTGAATGTCTTACCTAGTATCCAAAGTCTTTATTTATGGTAATAGAAAGTTGAATCCTAAAGGACTTCAAACTTTAGGTTACGATAGAATAGACCTAAACATTCGAAATAGAATCATACTATGATACCCAATATTAGGTTGTAAGATGGGATATGCCTACCAATAGGCGTTATTGATCTTATCAGTAGTCCCTTCATACTGGAAGCAGTGTTTTGTTAGGACTCTAATCCCCAGGTTAACCCTTAGCTGAGTATGAAGCGTCCAATGGAAGCGGGTAAACTGGAGAATCGTTCGCAGAGTGCCCCTTGGCAAGCAGAGGGGCTGCCGTTCGGCACTTTTGCCTGTCGGCAATGCCTTGGTGGCTTGTGCCTGCCGGTCAGCGCCAGAAAAGTGAAAGGTGTCCTCATATGGTCTTGCTTGAACTAGAGAGAGGCTGGTGGCTTGTGCCTGCCAGTCGGCACAAGCAATGCCAAAGGGGACCCCACAGCTTTTGTTTCAGAGGAAAATTTCTTTGTAATCTTCATCTTGAACTTGGGTGGATATAAATTTTTATTTGTGACCTCGTGCAAACACTAACGAAGATGTTCACATGTGCAGCGGAATTATAGATTTTACTTGGCATTTCTAGTCACGACCTTGGTGTTCTTTGCCTATGTATTTGCTTGTTCCTGCTGGAGATTCCACCTAATAACGTCACGAAGTGGCACTACTGGGTTGTTTGCCATGCTAAGGAACTGTCCCGAAGCAGTGGCGTTGGCATCATTTAGTCTTGCTGCCGTTGGGTTTGTTGGTGGCCTCGCTTGTTACCATGGCCATCTAATTGCTATAAATCAGGTTCGCCTAACGTAGATATATTCATTTTCACTATCTATATTAATAAAACATAAAATCGAGTAATGGTTCTTAAGCATGTTCTTTTTGTTGTTCTAGTTATCATTTCCTTAATTTTCCTACTGTACTACTTAAAGTTCTCAATTTGTATTAGTTTGGTTCAATTAAAAACATTGTTTTAAAAAAACTAGCGAAATTGACCAAGTGCATCTTTTATCATTAAACCGTTTTTTTTGACCGTCCGAAATTGATTCAACTAAGAAATGTGAGGGACTAAAGTGAAAAGTTTAAAGGATGAAGATCAAAGTGATACAAAATGCATAGTTGATGAACCATTTCTATATTTTACAATTAATTTTAGTTTTTATTTGCGCAAATAGGTTAAAAAATAAAAGATAATGATATGGTATTTTGGTGGTATAATAGATGAGAAGTTAAATAGCACTTAAAGTTAGCGGTTAGCTATTGCCCTTGTTGAATTTTAATGTCGCGAGTTTGAACCTCATCGTCTTCCTCTCTCCTTAACCCAAAAAATAACAAAAAACAAAATAGAAGAAATTAAATAACACTCTTGTTCTCATTGTCATTACCTCCTTGTCACTGCCGAAAAAAGAAAAGAAAAAGGAATTGCTTCCTTGTGCTTTCTTTGTTAATTATTTCTTCATGATCTTCTCATTTTCCTATGTTTTTTTCTTATGCAGACAGCTTATGAAAATTTTCAGCAACGCTATGTGGGCTCTAGAAACCCATATGACAATGGATTTATAAGTAATGTCAAGGAGGTTTTACTTGTGCCAATGCCACCTTCTAGAGTTGATTTCCGAGCAGAAGTAACACAAAATCGTTTGAACTCTGTAATAGTGGTGTAAAACCAGCAATCCTTACTTCAATGGAGTATTTCTAGGTTGTAAAATTCCTTATTGGGCTTTAATAGCATGCATTTTATTGAGGGCCCGGAGTGTAATCTCTTGATTATATTTTTTCTCAACTTCACTTCATTTTTTATCAATCATAAATTAAAGTGGAACTAATTTTATATGAGTGATTCTTTTATTAATACATACATGGCAAGTGATCTACCAATAAGAGTTATTGAGAGAAAAAATATTTAAAGAAATCGGGATCCAAAATTCACTCCATACTCCATAGTGAATGAGAGAGAGAGAGAGAGAGAGATTATGTATCCCAAATTATTGTATCTGACTTGATTATGTATGACTTGAGGTGGACTAAAATTTAAAACTAAATTGATCATAGTAAATCAGAACTCGATCAAGTTTCAAGTTATAACGTGTATGATTTGAGATGGACCAAAATTCAATCTTCAACAGGGTAAGGCTACGGTACCGAAGGAGGTACCATACCGAAATTTATAATTTTTTAAGGTTAAATTATAATTTTTTTGAGATGTAAGTTGCAATCTTTAAACGTCATTATCGATCATAATAGATCGGGATTGATACAAAAGTTAAGTTATAATTTTTAAATGTCAAGTTACAACTTAAAAGAGAGAAGTTATAATTGTTTAAAGGAAGTCTATGATCAAATCTATGTATCTGTGATTGATTATAATTCTATAGAATAGTTGTAATTTTTTTTTTTAAAATTATAATTTTACCATAAAAATAATAAGCGATATTGCGGGACGGAATTTTTTTTTTTCCGGTACTGAAGCCTTTCCCCTTCAACAATAATATTCGGTGGGCTTTGATAGGATTAGAGTTGAGCCGCCAGGTCGCAATCCAAAGTTCTTGTAGATGTGAGTGAACACCTTCATCACATGATTCATGGTTGTTTGATCCACTACATTTGAGAAGTCAACATTGACCATTTATTATATATAGTATCACACTTTATCGCATGATTTTTGGTTTTATAATTCCGTACACTTGAGCAGCGACGGGCAATTGCCCTCGACTAGGGATGACAGTGGATAAAAAAAAATGAGTATTCGTTCAAATTTAATTTGTTTACACTGAAAATGAACTATATGTATTGAACGATGGACGTATACAAGAATATTCGTACGAGAATAAAGACGAGAATGGACTTACCCTTACCCCTGTCCTGCCCCTCCCCGCCCCCGCTACCCGTTTTATATATATATATATATATATATATATATATATATATATATATATATATATATATACTCTCAAGTCCTAACTAAACATATTTACTGTAATTACATATGATAATCAAATTAACAAGTGACATTGCTATATGGCAATCTTATCAATTTTTTTCCTTGATTATTCTTTTTTTCTATTTATGCTCATTGATTGAAATTATTAGAAGTTTGGATTGACCATGCTCTAAAAACAAATAAGAGAGAGTAAGATAATTTTGCATTTCATTGTGGGTAGAAATATTGTTAATGGAGGTTGATGAGTTTCTCTGCTAGAGTGAACTAAGAAATGAGGAAAATTATTGAATTAGAGAAATTTTAATTTTCATTTTTTAACACTTTATGGCTGTAATATGAATTGTAATAACAAAAATTCTTCTAGGAAACTTGAAGTGTAGTGTTATCATTTTCTTAATTTAATTTTATGTTCATTTTCTTCATTTTTCTCTAATAGTTCTGTTTCTCTTTTTATAGTCCAATGACACTTTAAATAGAATATTTTATTGTTTTGTCTTTTATATTTTGCAATCTATATTATGCTGTGTTAGATTATGTTAGATTATTTAGAATGTTGTTGGATTATTTAAAATATTGAATTTATTTAAAATTTTAGATTATGTTACTTGGGCTTGGGCTTGGGCTTAGGCTTAGGCTTGGGCGGGTACGGGGAAGCGAGTACGGGGATTAGAAATTTATCCACGTACGGGGATGAGGATGAAAACTATACCCGTTAACGAGGGTAGACCAGGAATGGACGAAATTTTTTTAAGCAGGTACGGAAATGAAGATTACACTTCCTGCCCCCGCTTCGGTCCACTAACATCCCTACCCTTGACTTTCCCTAGTGTGAACTCATGGCACATCTCACGTATCACCAAATAGTTACAATATAATTCAACATAATTCATTTTTAAATGGAGAATCATCTTAATTTTGTGTGTTTGGTAACGTTTTTATTTTTATATTTTTTTTAAAAAAACAAAACTAGTTTTTGTTTTTTATAATACAAATTAAAAATATAAAACATGTTTGGTAATCATTTATATTTAAAAAATTATACAAGCAAAACCAAAAAATATGTTTGATATTATATATTAAAACCCCTCCTTCCTCTACCTCTTACCGTATCTATTCAATTCCCATTTACTTCAATAGTTTCTTCACTGCACCCATGTCTCTCACACTGTCATATATGTTGCATATACATATATGTAGATCTATCGAATAACAAGAAAATTTTGATTAATATATTTATGAAAATATGCATATATATATATATACACAAACACACACACGAAAACACAATTCTCTGTTAACAAGAAAAATTTGATAGATAGATCTATAAATATACACACACACACACATAGTGAAGATGAAATTTCAGTTCTACACACACACACACAGACAAAAACACACACACACATTCACACCCAAATCTAACCAAATATAACAATATATTCATAGATCTAGGGCTAAATATACACATATATACAATCTTTTGTATATACTATGTATATAACAAATCCAAATTTAAAAATTTGATTCCATAGAGAGGAGTTACAAATAGAAAGAGTGAAATCTAACCTTGAAAGAGATATTGACGGAAATGGAGTGTTGGCTTGTGAGATCTGAGAGCTCCTTTGTCGCTAGCATCGAGAGCGATGAACGCGAGAGAGAGAAGCGGTAAAAAGGGATAAATAATGCTCTTATAGTTGGAATAAAAAAAACCATTTTTCGCTATTAATAAGGTTCGAAGGCTAGACCTCATGAATTGATTCCAAGGGGCGCGAGTGTTTGCGTTTTTGCGTGTTTTAAAAACACCTATTTTCATGTTTTTAAAATTTATGATTGTTTACAAAACAGATCAATCCAAAAAATAAAAAAATAAAAACACTCTCCTAACATGTTATCATTTTTTTCTTGTGAATAGTGAAAACAAAAATAAAAAAAATGTTAGAGTATGTGTGACTCATATTTGCTGTGTGCATAATGGCAAGAAGGCAGATGCCGGAGCGGGCGGAGCGTAGCGGAGTGGAGCAAAGCGAAACGTAGCGGAGCGGGCGGAGCGTAGCGGAGTGGAGCGAAACGAAACGTAGCGGAGCGGATGGATGTAAATATAGCTTTCCTTCATGACGACTTGGAGGAACGAATTTACATGGTACAGCCAGAAGGGTACAGTCTCCCTGGAGAGGAACATTTGGTCTGTAATTTGAAGAAATCACTTTATGGGCTGAAGCAGTCTCCGAGGCAGTGGTACAAACGATTTGACTCTTACATGATCCGAATTGGTTACAAAGGTGTGAGTATGATTGTCGTGTCTATGTAAAAAGGCTTGATGACGATTCATTAATTTTTCTGTTACTTTATGTGGATGATATGTTAATTGCTGCCAAGAGTATGAGTGAGGTCAACAAGTTGAAGACTTTGTTGAGTAGAGAATTTGAAATGAAGGATTTGGGTGCGGCCTAGGATGGAGATTCGCAGGGACAGAGCTTCCAGGAAATTATGGCTATCTCATCATAGCTATGTTGAGAAGGTGTTGGACAGGTTCAACATGAGTTATGCAAAATCAGTTAGTACACATTTGGCGAATCATTTCAGATTGTCCATCGCTCAGTGCCCGAAGACAGATGAAGAAGTTTATAACAGGTCAAAGGTCTCATATGTTGGTGCAGTGGGGTGTTTGATGTATGCTATGGTTTGTACAAGACTAGATTTGGCACAAGCTGTCAGCGTGGTTAGCAAGTTTCTTTCAAATCTGGGTCGACAGCATTGGGATGCAGTCAAGTGGATTTTCAGATACTTGAGGGGCACTACAGACTATGACATCATGTTTAGCAGACAACAGAGTGACCCTTTAGTTATGTGATATGTGGATGCAGACTATGCAGGGGACTTGAATGACAGGAGGTCTACCACAAGTTATGTGTTTACTCTTGTGGGAGGACCTATTTGTTGGAAGTCCATGGTACAGCCTATAATTGCATTATCTACTACTGAGTCAGAGTATATGGCAGTAGCTAAGGCTGCCAAAGAGGCTTTGTGGCTTACAGGTTTAGTCAAGGAGCTGGGTGCCCAGCAAGGTAGAGTTCAATTGCATTGTGACAGTCAGAGTGTCATTTATTTGACAAAGAACCAGGTGTATCATGCGAGGACTAAACATATAGATGTGAGGTTTCATAAGATCAGAGAACTGATTTCTTCTGGTGAACTATTACTTGAGAAAGTTCACACTTCTGATAATGCAGCAGACATGTTGACAAAGCCTGTTACTACAGACAAGTTCAAGCACTACTTGGACTTGATTAATGTCTCTAGTTGCTAGATGGGAGATGACTCAACTCAGCGTCCCCGGTGGAGTTCCCGAATACATGTCCTCTTTTTTCTCCTAAGGGGTGAATATTTGCCAAGGTGGAGATTGTTAGAGTATATGTGTCTCATATTTGCTGTGTGCATAATGACAAGGAGGTAGATGTCGGAGTGGAGCCCGCGACGGTATCTACCTTGTAGGATTTATATAAAAGGGACGCTGATTAGTTGGGGGTGCGGGGGCAACGCCCCCCCGGTACAGTACAGGGATATTTTTGTAAATACGTCCGTATTAGAGTTATATAAATACTTAAGATGTAACCCTACTTTGAATAATGAAAAAGAACGGACGCTCACTCTCATGGATGTAGGTATATTGCCGAACCACGTAAATCTCTGTGTGTTATTTTTTCCTGCTTTCTTAATTGTTTG